ATGCCCAGCCACCGCATGCCTAAACAGCTTTTGTTCGGCCGGATCGAGGGGGCTAGACGGGCGCGGCACGGGCTGGAGAAGAGATGGAGTGATGTGGTACAGGAGGACGTGGAGCTGAGTGGACTTGCCGATGACTGGTACCAGCGGTGTCAAGATCGGCCTCAGTGGAGGAGGCTCGTGAAGGACGCTACTGGGCAGTTGGAGGCAGTCGCCCTCCAACAACAACGGAGGGCGGAGGAGCGACGCTCACAACAACGAGCGGAGCGCCGGGTGGCTAAAGCACAGCAAGTTGGTACAGTAGGGGGCACAGGTGGTGCATCAGCCAGTCATCTCGGTCATCTCGGTCAGGCACCTGGGTCTGCCCCGTGACCTCCTGCCAGCGGGCGTTCGACACTTCACGTGGCCTCAAGGTGCACTTGGCCTGGCACAAGCATCGTGGTGACGTCACCGCCACTTAGTGGCGAATGGCGGTTGTTGTTGTTGTGTGACGGTGTGTGTGTGTGACGGTGTGTGAGTGTTAGACTGTGTGTGTGACGGTGTGTGAGTGTTAGACTGTGTCTGACTGTGTGTGTGTGACTGTGTGTGTGAGTGTTAGACTGTGTGTGTGACTGTGTGTGTGACGGTGTGTGAGTGTTAGACTGTGTGTGTGTGACGGTGTGTGTTAGACTGTGTCTGACTGTGTGTGTGTGACTGTGTGTGTGTGAGTGAGTGTTAGACTGTGTGTGAGTGAGACTGTGTGTGTGACCTTGTGTGTGTGTGTGAGACTGTGTGTGTGTTGCTGTGTGTGAGTGTTAAATTGCGTGTGTGTGACTGTGTGTGACTGTGTGGGTGAGTGTGGCTGTGTGTGTGGCTGTGTGTGTGACTGTGTGTAAGTGAGACTGTGTGTGTGACTGTATGTGTGAGTGAGACTGTTTGTGTGAGACTGTGTGTGAGACTGTGTGTGTGACTGTGTCTGTGTCTGTCAGTGTGTGACTGTGTGTAAGTGAAACTGTGTGTGTGGGACTGTGTGTGTGAGTGAGACTGTGTGTGTGACTGTGTGTGACGGTGTGTGCGTGCGACTGTGTGTGCGTGTGACTGTGTCTGTGTCTGTCAGTGTGTGACTGTGTGTGCGACTGTGTGTGCGTGAGACTGTGTGAGTGACTGTGTCTGTGTCTGTCAGTGTGTGACTGTGTGTAAGTGAGACTGTGTGTGTGTGACTATGTGTGCGAGTGAGACTGTGTGTGTGACTGTGTGTGACGGTGTGTGCGTGCGACTGTGTGTGCGTGTGACTGTGTCTGTCAGTGTGTGACTGTGTGTGCGACTGTGTGTGCGTGAGACTGTGTGAGTGACTGTGTCTGTGTCTGTCAGTGTGTGACTGTGTGTAAGTGAGACTGTGTGTGTGTGACTATGTGTGCGAGTGAGACTGTGTGTGTGACTGTGTGTGACGGTGTGTGCGTGCGACTGTGTGTGCGTGTGACTGTGTCTGTCCGTGTGTGACTGTGTGTGCGACTGTGTGTGCGTGAGACTGTGTGAGTGACTGTGTCTGTGTCTGTCAGTGTGTGACTGTGTGTAAGTGAGACTGTGTGTGTGTGACTATGTGTGCGAGTGAGACTGTGTGTGTGACTGTGTGTGACGGTGTGTGCGTGAGACTGTGTGTGCGTGTGACTGTGTCTGTCATTGTGTGACTGTGTGGGAGATCTTGTGTGTGGGGGGGAGTGGTAGTGTAGTGCTCAACGCACAGCGCTACTAACCCGACTACCCGAGTTCGATTCCCGCTCACGGCCAACACCAGTGACGTTTTTTCGCATCGGTCCCGGGCCTTTTGTAGGTCGACTCAGCCTCAAATGAGTACCTGGTGCTAGTGTGTAAACATCGCCACTGGGGAGACAAAGGCGGTCGGGCGTGGCGCTGGCCACCCACCCCCTCGTGTGACGTTCCGGCTTCATAGGTGCTCGCTAACAGCACTTGCCCCTACAGTCTGTGAAGAGCAAGACTGGCAATCTTTGTCTTTGTGTGCGTGCGCGTCTGTTTGCATTTTGTGCGGTATTGTGTTTTAATCTAATTCGGGTGGATAGCCTGCATCCTATTCCTTAACACCCGTCGATATTGAACGGACTTTAATCTGAAGAGGCGAATGCTCAATAAAGTAACGGAGAGAAATATCCGCACGGCATCGATCACAGGTGTCGTCATCCGCTTTCAAACTTCTCACCCCGAGCCGATGTGTCCTTTGCGCCTTTAGCTTGAGAAACAAAATAAAATTCGCGTTGGCCCCACGGAACGACGGTGTCACGATGTGGTGTCAGAGCGAGCTCGTAGGAAGACTTACAACAACAAACAACAAACAACAATAAACAACAACAATAAACAACAACAATAAACACCAAGAATAAACAAAAACAATAAACAACAAAACATCGCATCGGACAATTTGGCCTAGAAATGACAATGTATGCCAGCGTTCTTCACTCATTTTTAGAGGAGAGGGGTGGGGGGATGACACTTTCGCCTATAAGACATCGTCACGGCAAGACATCATCACCGGGGGGTTGACAGCAAAACGATGATGATGACGATGGTGACGGTGATGATGATGGTGATGATGATGATGATGGTGATGATGGTGATGGTGATGATGGTGATGATGATGGTGATGATGATGATTATGATGGTGATTATGATCGTAATGATGGTGGTGGTAATGATCGTGATGATGGTGATGATGATGGTGATTTTGATGGTGGTGATTATGATGATGATGATTATGATGGTGATTATGATGGTGGTGTTAATGATCGTGATGATGGTGATGATGATGATGGCGATTATGATGGTGGTCATTATGATGGTGATGATGATGATGGTGATGATGGTGGTGATTATGATGATGATGATTATGATGGTGGATTATGATGGTAATGATGGTGGTGGTAATGATCGTGATGATGGTGATGATGATGATGGTGATTATGATGGTGGTGATTATGATGGTGATTATGATGGTGGTGATTATGATGATGATGGTGATTATGATGGTGATGATGGTGGTGATTATGATGGTGATGATGGTGGTAATTATGATGGTGGTGATTATGATGGTGATGATGGTGGTGATTATGATGGTGATGATGGTGGTAATTATGATGGTGGTGATTATGATGGTGATGATGATGGGTTTTAGAGTCGACGGGGTGGGGATGGGGGTGCAGGTGTAAGGGGGGAGGTGACAACCCCTTGTTATCAGGGTGCCACGGTGGCGAGATGTTAACCACCTCGCCTGATGTACAGGCGGTGGTGGGTTCGATCCCGACCCTGACACCTGCTGTATATTTGGTGTTTGCCTGTCTCTCTCTCTCCCCGTGGCCGCGTGGATTTTTCTCAGGGTCCTTCGGTCATTTCGCTCCACAGTTAGAAACACGCGTTTACATCATTTGGCTGCTACACATTTCCACGCGATTCGCCACTTTGTTGAACTCTCAGTTGTGATGACCAGGTCGCTACTGAAAAAAAAAACCCAACTCTATAGCTCAGTGGGGCCTTACCTGGTAAAATAAAATTTTCAATAAATGATCTATCGGGCGTCTTCCCGAGGAACAATGATGGTGCTATGAGGTCGCTCGTGCCAACACCCCGCGGGCAACACCCACAACACCCCCTCGCCTCCAGAGCGAAGCGGTGGTGGTGGTGGCTGGTGGTGGTGGCTGGTGGTGGTGGCTGGTGGTGGTGGCTGGTGGTGGGTGGTGGTGGTGGTGGGTGGTGGTGGTGGCTGGTGGTGGTGGCTGGTGGCTGGTGGTGGTGGTGGCTGGTGGTGGTGGCTGGTGGTGGTGGTGGTGGTGGCTGGTGGTGGTGGCTGGTGGTGGTGGCTGGTGGTGGTGGCTGGTGGTGGTGGCTGGTGGTGGTGGCTGGTGGTGGTGGTGGTGGTGTCAAACTTCACGTTTATTTTGTTTGACCCAGGTGAGAACTCGCGAACCGAGACTAAGAGTCTCATTTGCGAGGATGTACCCGGGGTCATTCGCCAAAATCACAACAACGTCAACACAATAATTCGTACGGAATATAGTACGACAATTGAAACACACAGAAGTCTGCGCACAAAAACAACAACTACAACGAGGCATCCAGAAACAGCGCACAAAACAATAATGGTGTTAAAACAAACATTTCCTGACAGCAAAGGTCGGCTTGAATAAATAAACTACCTTAAAAACCGCTCGTGGCGTCGGTGGTGGTGGTGGGTGATGGTGGTGGTGGATGGTGGTGGCGTTGGTGGGTGGTGGGTGGTGGTGGTGGTGGTGGTGGCAGTGGGTGGTGGCTGGTGGTGGTGGGTGGTGATGACAAAACCGCCTCTCGCCGTCCGCGAGCCATCACTAAGACGACCGCCCGCCCTCCCACTCGCACGCTCGACTCGCTCGCTCACCCACCCACTCGCTCGCTCACCCACCCACTCGCTCACCCACCCACTCGCTCACCCACCCACTCGTTCACCCACCCACTCGCTCACCCACCCACTCGCTCACCCACCCACTCGCTCACCCACCCACTCGCTCACTCACCCACCAACTCGCTCGCTCACCCACTCGCTCACTCACCCACCCACTCGCTCACTCACCCATCGCCCACCAACTCGCTCGCTCGCCCACCCACCCACTCGCTCGCTCACCCACCCACTCGCTCGCTCACCCACCAACTCGCTCGCTCACCCACCCACTCGCTCACTCACCCACCCACTCGCTCACTCACCCACCCACTCGCTCACCCACCCACTCGCTCACCCACCCACTCGCTCACCCACCCACTCGCTCGCCCACCCACTCGCTCGCCCACCCACTCGCTCGCTCACCCACTCGCTCACTCATCCACCCACTCGCTCACTCACCCACCAACTCGCTCGCTCGACTACCCACCCACCCACTCGCTCACTCACCCACCCACTCGCTCACTCACCCACCAACTCGCTCGCCCACCCACTCACTCACTCACCCACCCCACTCGCCCCGCGTCGTCCACCCCCACGCATCTCGATGGCGTCTGGCACCTTGACCCCCTTCGTCTCCGTCTTCGTGGTGCTCATGGTGGTTGGAGGGGTGGGCAACGTTGGCCTCTTGGTGAGCGTCAGAGGGGACCACGCCAGGGCACCGCTGCAGCAGCTACTGCTGCTGCCCGACCTCGTGGTCGTCCACCTCGGCGTGGCGTGCCTCCTGCACGCGCTCAGCGGAGGCGTCTCCCTCCTCGTCACCGCCAACGTCTGCTGCCAGGAGCTGGCCGACGGCTTCTGTGGGACCATCAACTTCTTGATCAGGTCAGGTGATGACATTGATGATGATGATAGTGATGATGATGATGACAGTGATGATGATGATAGTGATGATGATGATAGTGATGATGATGATGATGATAGTGATGATGATGATGATGACAGTGATGATGATGATGATAGTGATGATGATGATAGTGATGATGATGATGAAAGTGATGGCGCAAATTATAGTGATGATAATGATACGAATGATAGTGATGACGACGATGATAGTGATGATAGTGATGATGATGATGATAGTGATGGCGCAAATGATAGTGATGATAATGATACGAATGATATTGATGATGATGATGATGATAGTGATGATGGTGAAGGTGCGAATGATCGTGATAATGATGGCGCAATGATAGTGATGATGCGAATGATTGTAATGATGATGGTGATGATGCGAATGATAGTGATGATGATGATGGTGGTGCAAATGATTGTGATGATGATAGGGATGATGCGAATGATCGTGATGATGATGATGGTGGTGCGATTGATAGTGATGATGTTGATGGCGATGATGCGAATGATTGTGATGGTGATGATGATGGTGGTGCGATTAATAGTGATGATGATGGTGCGATTGATAGTGATGATGTTGATGGCGATTATAGTGATAATGATGGTGACGATAGTGATAATGATTGTGCAAATCATAGTGATGATGATAGTGATGCTGGTGATGATGCTATTAATCTTCTTGTAGTACGACTGCTGATGTAGATGCAGAGCATCGACTACAATGTCATATCCAGGTGGTCAAGGCAGGTAACGGCGTCAGGAGCAGCGGAGTGTGCCACCGTCACTGCGATGTCTCCATCGTGTTTGTGGATCGGGGCATTGCATCGTTACACGTTGCACGGTCTCTGTTCTGACTGACCGCAGCGGCAGACTGCTGGAGAGATTTACATTTTACATTTGTGCATCAGGAATCCGCATCTAACATGGTTCGTGCGTTCTAGATTTGAAGTTTTCGTGACTGCAAGGATTCATACTCTTTGTTTTTTTTCGGTAAAGTCACGTAGGTAAAATTTTTAAATTAATAAAAGTAAAATAAAAATAAAATAAAAATCACGCCGTTTCGTCGTGTTTTTTATTTTATTTGATTTTTATTTTACTTTTATTAATTTATTTATTTTTTCCTACGTGACTTTACCGAAAAAACCTAAGAATATGAATCCTTGCAGTCACGAAAGCTTCAAATCTGGAATTCATCCTTTTTGTTTTTTTCGATAAAGTCACGTAGGTGAAAAATAAATGAAAAAACAACTAAATTAAAGCATGACGTTTCGAAGGCAACACAATTACTGTATCCAGTGATACAGTAATTTTGCTGTGACGGTTCCACCTGAAGACGGAAGCTTGTTTTGCCTCCGAAACGTCGTGATTTATTTTAGTTGTTTTTTTTCATTTCTTTTTTACCTACGTGACTTTACCGAAAAAAACAAAGAGTATGGTTTGTGCGGTTGTGATATTGGATCTACCGTGAGAATGACCAAAATGCGTTTATGCATTTTGAGCTTCTTTCGCACCGTACATAACCAACCGTACTAACCGGAGGTGCAGGGGAAGGACAACGAACTCAACACAAAAATAAGTTTTCAAGAAATGAGTTTTCAATACATATGTCATAGTGCAAAGCTCCGATGGCTTCCTAATATCGGGAAGGAAGAGCGTTCCAGACGGCCGCAGAAACTCATCTGAAAGCGCCGTGCGATGATGCGGTGACCACCGCCTTTGTTCGACGGTTCGCCAAAAGCCGCTGCTACTGCTACTGCTGCTACTGCTGCTACTGCTGCTGCTGCTACTACTGCTGCTGCTGCTACTGCTGCTACTGCTGCTGCTGCTACTGCTGCTACTGCTGCTGCTACTGCTGCTACTGCTGCTACTGCTGCTGCTACTGCTGATGCTACTACTGCTGCTACTGCTGCTGCTGCTACTGCTGCTGCTGCTACTGCTGCTGCTGCTACTGCTGCCGCTGCTGCTGCCGCTGCTACTGCTGCTGCTACTGCTGCTGCTGCTACTGCTGCTGCTACTGCTACTGCTGCTACTGCTACTACTGCTGCTGCTACTGCTGCTGCTACGAGGATGAGCAGAGTTCGCGTGATGGTTCATGCTCCTTGACGAGATACGCGGGGTATTGTGGTTCATTTGTGGCAAGACCACTTCGTGTGTAATGAGTGCGACCTTTTCATCTAAATGCCACGGGAATGGAACTCGGGTCGCCGGGTTCGTAGGGCAGTGCGCTAAACACTGTGGGCTACTGCTCCAGTGACGCTGCTGCTGCTGCTGCTACTACTGGGTTGGCAGTGGTGCACAGTCCATTAAAATCAGAATATGCATTCATACTGGAGGAATCCGATGAGCTATGAAGTTATTTTTCACAGATGTCCACTTGGGGCATGGGGTCAGCACGTTACAACAACAAAGAGTACAACAACACGATAGGAGTGAAAAGTATACGACGTGTAAATAAAATATAAAATAAACTACGTTATTTGTATCTTACCAGGTAAAACCCACCGAGCTGTTACCTTTATAAACAGCTCTTTGATTGGTGTAAACCCACTGCTGGTGTCGGAGACCTCTCCTACATTAACATTAGCTGCCCTGCCCATCTCTAAACCTTCATAAACAGCCTGCTTCAGCAGCTATTCCGCTATATTTTTTTCCTGATGACGATTGCTTGTGTTGCGATCGAAACGTCGTGAGAGTTTTATTATTATTTTATTCACTTTTTTTATTCTTTTATTGTTATAACTTTTTTCTATCTATGTGACTTTACTTAAACTCAGCAATTATTGGAAAGATGTCATCAACCACTTTGGGTCATGACTTGATTTGTGTTTTCTTGTCTACCTCCACCATCAGCAGTGTGGGTGTGTGGAGCGAGGTGCAATGCTTTGATTGGTGTAGACCAACTGCTGGTGTCGGAGACCTCTCCTACATTAACATTAGCTGCCCCACCCATCTCTATATCGTTATAAACAGCCTGCGTCAGCAGCTATTCCCCTATATTTTTCTCCTGATGACGATTGCTTGTGTTGCGATCGAAACGTCGTGATATTATTATTTTATCCACTTTATTTTCATTTTTATTATTTTATTGTTATTATTTTTAAATCCTTTATATTAAGTTCGCTTGCTTGCTTGCTTGCGTGCTTGCGTGCTTGCTTGCTTACGACCGTGCAAATCTTTCGGTCGTTTTTAACCCACTTCCCGTGATCCAATCGAGCTGACATTTTGCACACAGACTCGTTGTGCGAGACAATTAATGTTCGTGAAAACATTTTTTCCTACATTTTACACTGTTTAGGGAAAACAAATTAAATATTTAATTACCAATTGCTTAATGCTGGCAGACAATCATCTGACCCATAGGTGGCAGCCATCTCAAGCCAGAGGACGAGAGGACTCTAGCCGCCATGCATATAAAGGATTTAGAGTGAAAAACTTTGTTTTTACGGGTTATACTTATTTCTATCTACGTGACTTTACCGAAAAAAAACCATAGAATATGAATTCCTGCAGTCACGACAATTTCAATTCAAAATTTCTACTCTCGTACGTGACGGTCCTCCCAGGTACGGCTCCACGTTGGGTGGCTGGTTCACGCTGCTGCTCAGTCTCTACCGCTACGCGAAGCTGCGCACGCTGGACCGACCCTCGCTGGCGGTGACGCGACTCGAGGGTGCCACGTGGCCTCGCCGCTGCTGCTCGCTACTCTGGGCCGCGATCGCCCTCGTCCACTCGCCCACGGTTTGGTCGGCGATCTCCGCTGGGAGTTCCTCCTACACCGCCACCACCGCCATGTCCAGTGCCTCCACCAACGCAAGCGTCAGCACCACCAACAGCACCACCAACAGCACCACCAACAGCACCACCAACAGCACCACCAACAGCACCACCAACAGCACCACCAACAGCACCAGCAGCAGCACCACCAACAGCACCACCAACAGCACCACCAACAGCACCACCAACAGCACCACCAACAGCACCACCAACAGCACCAGCAGCAGCACCACCAACAGCACCACCAACAGCACCACCAACAGCACCAGCAGCAGCACCACCAACAGCACCACCAACAGCACCACCAACAGCACCACCAACAGCACCACCAACAGCACCACCAACAGCACCACCAACAGCACCACCAACAGCACCACCAACAGCACCACCAACAGCACCACCAACAGCACCACCAACAGCACCACCAACAGCACCAGCAGCACCACCAACAGCACCACCAACAGCACCACCAACAGCACCAGCAGCAGCACCACCAACAGCACCACCAACAGCACCACCAACAGCACCACCAACAGCACCACCAACAGCACCAGCAGCAGCAGCGTGTGCAAGATGAACGCGTGTCCGTGCGTGTCAGCGGACAGCGCCGTGCTGCAGCAATACTGGACGGTTCGTTGGGGGCGGGTGGCAGAATCGGGGGTTTAGCCGCCTGAGGTTAGCGTTCAGTGTTCAGTGGGCTCGTTGTTGGCGAGGGCGAGGGTTTGGTTGGCTAGTTGGTGAGTGGTGGGGATGGTGTTTGGCTGGCAAGTTGGTGAGTGGTGGGGCTGGTTAGTTGGTGAGTGGTGGGGCTGGTGTTTGGCTGACTGGTTGGTGAGTGGTGAGGCTGGTGTTTGGCTGACTGGTTGGTGAGTGGTGGGGATGGTGTTTGGCTGGCAAGTTGGTGAGTGGTGGGGCTGGTTAGTTGGTGAGTGGTGGGGCAGGTGTTTGGCTGACTAGTTGGTGAGTGGTGGGGCTGGTGTTTGGCTGGCTAGTTGGTGAGTAGTATGGTTCGTGTTCACCGCTAATCCCCAATTGAATTCCCCCACTACAGCGTTGCGCCCCTGCTCTCAGTGTCCCATCGTTCAGCAGCCGCACTTTTCCAGTGCGCCCACCGTGCCCCCATCCACACCACCACCCCCCACCCCCTCGCTCACCTTCCCAGGCCACCCCCCCCCCCCGTGCTGTTCCCGCTGGTGCCCAGGTGGTGAACTACGTCTTCGTGTGGCTCCCCGTGGTCCTCATGCTGCTGAGCAACACGCAGATGGTGCGGCAGCTGTGGAGGCACCGACGCTCCGTGGACGCGGAGTCGAACCTGGGAGCGGCGGTGGGGAGCGGACGGGCGCGCGCCTGCGTGCAAGCGGCAAAGGTCGTGACCTGGGTGGGGGGTGGGTGGGGTGATGGTGGTGATTGTGATCGTGGTGATGATAGTGATGATGATGATGGTTTTTGTAATGATAGTGATGATGGTGGTAAAGATAGTGATGATTGTGATCGTGGTGATGATAGTGATGATAATGATGGTTTTTGTAATGATAGTGATGATGGTTATGATGGTGGTAAAGATAGTGATGATTGTGATCGTGGTGATGGTAGTGATGATGATTATGGTTTTTGTAATGATAGTGATGGTGATGATGGTGGTGATGATAGTGATGATGGTAATGATGATCGTGATGATGGTGTTAATGATGGTGATGATGGTAAAGATAGTAATGATTGTGATCGTGGTGATAATAGTGATGATGATGGTTTTTGTAATGATAGTGATGGTGATGATGGTGGTATTGATAGTGATGATGGTAATGATGATCGTGATAATGGTGTTAATGATGGTGATGATGATGGTAAAGATAGTGATGATTGTGATCGTGGTGATGATAGTGATGATGATGATGGTTTTTGTAATGATAGTGATGGTGATGATGGTGGTATTGATAGTGATGATTATTCATAATCATGCTCTATTTAAGACCTGGAGCAATAGCAGAGCCTCATCATTCTGGCGAATTGCCCGATGATCTTGGATGCAATTACCAGCGAAACGTCGTACTCAAAAACTGTAAATGTTGTGGTTTCACGCTTCAACACACCGGTGGGCTAAAGTAGTGAACTATTTGTCTTTTGTCAACGTGACACTTTTTTGCTGATTGGCCGTGTCGGGTGGTGGAGGGTTACGACACATTTATAAATAACGCGATCTAACCCAAAATCGTTGATTATGAGTGGTGATTATGATCGTGGTGATGATAGTGATGATGATGGTTTAGTAATGCTATTGATATGGATGATGGTAATGATGATGATGGCAGTGATGATGATGATGGTTTTAGTAATGATGGTGATGATGGTGGTTATGATGGTTTTAGTAATGATAGTGATGATGATCGTGATGATAGTGATGATGATCATGATGATAGTGATGATGGTGGGAATGATAGTGATGATGATACGAGTGATGATGATGGTAGTAATGATAGTGATGATGATAGTGATAATGACAGTGATAATGGTTGTCATGATAATGATGATGATGGTGGTAATGATTGTGCGAATGATAGTGATAATGATGATAGTGGTAACAATGGTGGTGATGATGATAGTATGATTTTATGATGATGGTGAGAATGTTAGTGATGATGACAGTGATGATGATCGTAAATGTAAACAATAATATTTTAAACGTAGGCTTTCGCGACCAATATTTTTGTAAATAACGTGTTTTGGGTTAGAGCGAGTGAACACAAACCCGCCACCACAGCCAATGAGTAAGATTTGTTACGTAAACAAAATGTGCAAATTCCAACTTCAGCACACGGGTGTGTTGGAGAGCAAACCCACAGCAACGTTGACAAGTTTGCGTTAACGACGTTTCGCTGGCGATTACAACTCCACCTACGACGGACTTCATCCGGCGATTTGCCAGAATTGTGAACAAGTCTTCACCTTGCCTCTATTTAAGACCGACACAAGACTCCTGAACCTTAGGACAGTTTTAAATACCTGAGCTCAGAATGGCAATGACCTCCCCCAGTGAAAATCCCCCAAACCCACATCCCCAGCCTGCGCTGATGAGTCGGGTGTGCCTGCCTGACACCGTCGATGCGACTGGCAACGCCGTCCAGAACGTGACGATGCTGCAATGTTACGATGTGAGCGAGGCTGTGTATCTCTGTGATATCTGTCTCTACTTATATGTCTGTCTAGATGTCTCTGGTTCTGTGTTTATTCTCTCTCTCTCAAATTTAGCATTCTCATGAAGAACGTAATCAACCAGGGAGGGTGTTGACTGTTATGTTATCCGACTCTCTGTTGTATTACATTACATTTCTAAGTATACTAGATTTGTGTTTAATTTTCATTTATACCTGATAATGATTGCTTGTGTAGGGATTATTACGGGAGAAACGGCGGACAACAAACACAGGGGTGTCGGCACTCACATACACGGGTGGTCACACCGACGTCCGCATCCGTTATTGCCCACGCCCCCAGCCCTCGGAGGCGATCCCTATTAAAGGTGGAGACCCAAAGAGCTCGAGGCAGTTCGACACGAAGCTGACCAGTGAAGATCCAAGACTCGGAGATTAGGCCCTGGGACTCCCCGGTCTCGCCGTCCTTATAAGGGCCGAGCCGGGTAAGCCAGTGGCGCGGCCCAAAAGCTTCCAGACCGCTGCCCTTATCAGGGCAAGGCTGGTTAGCTGGTGCCGAGATCTGTACTTGCCAGGGCCAGATCAGTCAGCCTCCCGTAGCCCAGTAGAGGAGGACTGGGGAACAGGACAGAGGGCTTAGTACTAGGGTGGGTTTCCCATAGTACGGGTGAAGGGGCCGATACCCCTTCAACTATTGTGCCTGTCCTTGGGTTAATAAACAGAGTGTGCCTCAACTTCGACATCGTCTCCTCGAACTTACTACATCTGGTGTTGGAAGTGGTCCAAGCATGGATACGAGACGGAAGACTCGTCCCCAAGACCCAGGAGAGGATGACGACGAGGGAGGGGCGGTGCAAGACATCACCGCCGACGTACCTGCACAACCGCTGCCGGCTCCGACATCGGCGGGGTCGTCGGAGAGGGCCGGGACGTCGACTGACGAGTTGGCGTTGGCTCACTCGCGGCTGGCGGAGCTCCTGTATGCAGCGGCCGCCATGCTGGAACAAATAACTCACCTGGGGCCGGGAGGAGCGACGCGGCGGGAAGATGGACAACGCCCGCCAGAAACTCCCGCCTTTACAACAGCGGGGAGACTCGAAATTCCCGCCACGAAGACAGTAGGGGCAGAGGGAGGAGCCCCAGCTCGTCACGCGGGGGACGGAGCCCAGCCAGCAGCCGCCACATCATCGGCGGAGGCGGGTCGCAGTGGCGGCCTATCAGGGGTTGCAACGTCACCACCATCGGACGCCAGCACCGACCAAGCCCCGACCAGCACGTCACTGACGGCGCGAACACCCATTAGAGTCCACCATTACTCGTACAGTACGGGGACGCGATACGGATGCTGCAAGAGGTTCAGAGACGGAGCCGACATTCCAGCAATGCCTGCCGGCCCTGCAGGTATTCGTAGCAAGCGACGGCGATTGGGGGGGGTTCCAGCGCCGGTTCCTGGCCCACCAAGAAATGGCGGGCTGGTCGGACAACGAGGCGCTGTGTGCTCTCCCGGCGATGCTGGACAGCGACGCCCTGGGCACCCTCACCGCTGCACCCAAGTCGGCACGCTCCACGATTCAGTCGGCGCTGCAGCTGCTGGCCACGGTTTATGGGCCGCCCTCCGATTGTCGCCAGCTCTTCTATGAACGGCAGAAGGGCGACAAGGAATCGCCACTTGCTTATCGCACGGCCCTGCTGTCATTGGCGAAAGACGCTTTCCCGCGTATGGACGAAGAAGGGATCGATGCGATGGTGGCCGAGAAAATTTTGCTGCTGGCCGACGATTTGGACTTCATCATCCTAGCACAGGATGATGCGGATATGTCATCATTGCGGGCTGCAAGGCACATTCACGCCAATCTCATCTCCCAGTGGAAGGAAGGCAAACATTGCAGCTGCACGACACACCGTGGCGGCGACCTCTTCCGGAATGGAGGGGGCCTTCGCTGCGGATCGTTCTGCAGGATGGCGATCTGCCGAGCGACCGGCTCGGGACGTTCCGAGCCACCGAGATCAGCCCAAGTCCTCTGGAGCGCTCGTCGTCTGCTACAATTGTGGCCTCCGGGGCCACGTGGCGTCCGGATGCCGGGCTCCTCGACAGCGCGGAGCGAGACCTGGAGCTGCGGACGGCCCTCCCCACAAGCCTTCGCAACATCCTCGGGCAAGTCATGGCACCCCATATGTTCGGCCTGCACACACACCCACTTTCCTCTCACAAGGTCCGACACACGATTCTCGGGGTTTGGGTGCTGGTGCGTCGGGTCGCGGCATGTCGGGGAGGGCGCTCCAACCGGGCCAATGGTCCGAGTTGGCTCACCGGGTTGTGGCTGCATCGGCGGGGTCGTCCGTTGTCACGGGGCATATTGACGGGGTGGAGGTACGGCTACTGGTCGATACGGGAGCTTCGGCAACTATCATTTCGGATTTGATTTATAATATCCTGCCCGTTCAGAGTCGCCCGTTGCTCCCTGTCGACATACCGTTTTACGCTGCGAATGGGGGCTCGTTGGGTATTATCGGCCAAATTCGAGCGCAAATTTCTATAGGGGACATTAAACTATCTGGCCCGGTGTTCGTCTCCTCCTCGCTGGCTATTCCGTGCCTGTTGGGGACAGACTTTTTGGCCAAATTGCCCATCAAAATTCTGATTGACCAGCGATGCATCGAGCTTCCATCGGGCCGACGTATTACGTTCCTGCCTTCCACCCCTGCCTTGCATACTGCCTGTGCTACGGTACAGGTGCTCGTTGCTCGAACGGTGCGTGTACCCCCGGGGGCACAGATGTTAGTACCCCTGCGGTTGCGTCGACCGTTCGATAAAGGGGTCTCTGACCGGGGCATTATGTTGGGACCATCTAGAGCCGGGGTGAGTGGGCCAGATCTGGTGACGGCCCAGACTATTGTTAAAGGGGATGGGGAACCGTTTATCGCGGTCCTCAATGTCGGGACACGGACGGCAGTGGTTTCACAGGGTACCGTGTTCGCACATGCGGTTCCGGTACCTGCGGAAACGCCGATCATTGGCCAGGTGGCCACCGATTCTCAAACGCGATTAGCCTCAGACACTGACGAGGGCTTGGCTGGAGGCGTTGTGTGCTGAGTCACCTGACCTGTCCGACGCACAACGTGCTAAATTACGCGCCTTATTGCGAGAATTTTCCGACGTCTTCAGTAAACATAAATACGATATCGGATGTACCAAATTGCTACGCCACCATATTGACACCGGTGACAACGCTCCTATCCGCCAAAATCCTTTTCGGTTAAGTCCCGCCGAAAAGGATCATGTCAAATCGGCTGTAGATGACATGTTGAAATCTGACATCATTTCTCCCTCGACCAGCCCTTGGGGTGTACCCATAGTGTTGGTTAAAAAGCACGACGGGTCCCTAAGGTTCTGTGTTGATTTCCGGCGATTAAATAAGATCTCGGTGGCCGATGCTTATCCGCTTCCTCGAATGGACGAATCGCTGGATGCCCTCGCGGGATCGCGATTCTTTTCCACTTTGGATTTGCTCTCAGGATTTTGGCAACTTCCCTTGGACGACGAATCTAAGCCCAAAACAGCTTTCCGAACGCCGCACGGCCTCTTCCAATTAAATCGCTTACCCATGGGATTACACTCTGCTCCCGCGACGTTCCAGCGCCTGATGGAATTGGTCCTCGCTGGCTTGCAATGGGAGGTGTGTTTGATTTACCTGGATGACGTTATCGTATTCAGTAAGACGTTCGAGGAACATCTTGATAGGCTTCGGGCCGTCTTTCTCAAGATGCGCGCTGCTAATTTGAAATTCAAGCCACAAAAGTGCCATTTGCTGCGCGAATCTGTTAAATATTTGGGTCACATCGTCGGCCGGTCAGGCATCTCAACCGATCCCGCCAAAACGCGTTGTGTCAGCTCCTGGCCTACTCCCACCTCGGTGGGGGAGGTTAGAAGCTTCATCGGATTTGCTTCATATTACCGCCGGTTTGTCGCGGACTTTGCTTCCATCGCTAAGCCACTACATGCCTTAACGTCAAAAGGGGTCAAATTTCATTGGGGGCCGGTGGAGGATGCCGCTTTTGTCTCTCTTCGGGATGCCCTGGTGGGGGCCCCGCCGTTAAGCTACCCCGATTTTTCCATGCCCTTCGTGCTCGACACGGACGCAAGCAATACCGGGATTGGAGGCGTGCTGTCACAAATTGTGGGTGGCGTGGAGCGCGTTGTGGCTTATGGTAGTAGAGTATTGTCTCCGGCCGAGCAGCGGTACTGCGTCACCCGCCGCGAACTGTTGGCTATCGTGTTCTTTATCCAACAGTACCGGCCATATCTGTACGGCCGGCATTTCACCGTCCGTACAGATCATGCGGCGTTGCAGTATGCCCTACGAATTAACCAGCCATCGGGGCAGTTGTCCCGATGGCTGGAGATCATGCAGGATTTCGATTTCGAGACAACTTACCGAAAGGGGATTCGCCACACCAATGCCGATGCCCTATCACGCCTGCCGATCGCTCCGGATTGCACTTGTTTCTTGGGTTCGGGCCGTTGCAAATCGGCCAGTGACGGCCGGGATCGGGTTCTTGCGGCCGCAGTTGATACCCCTTCGGACGCTGGTCCTATTTCGGGGGGAGGGAAAGATTCCCTACTAGGCTTGTCAAGTGCTGAGTGGGGTCGCCTCCAAATGGAGGATGCGACCCTCCTGGCGCTACGACGTCGCGCGGAAGGATCAGGTCAAGGGAAGTCGGGCGTTGACTCATGGGGGTGGTGCCAGGGCCTACTCATGCATTGGGACGGGACGATCCGCCGTCACAGGCTGGTGGTGCCTTCCACGTTGAGGGGTAGGGCTGTATGGGCTGCTCATGAACGGCTCCTGCACCTGGGTACCCTCAAAACACTTGCCATGCTCCAGCTTAATTACTTTTGGCCGGGCATGGCAAGAGACGTGGACGATCTGCTGCGGTCCTGTACCCAGTGTGCACAACGGAAGCCGCCAGCAAAGGGAGCCAGTCCACCGCTCCAGTCTATTTCGGTCACCCGGGTTAATGAGCTGGTCGCCTTGATATTTTGGGACCGTTTCCTTCCACGCCGAGGGGTAATAAGTACCTGCTGGTTGGCGTGGAATATTTCACGCGATGGCCTATGGCTTGGCCCCTCGCCAACCAGTCCGCAGCAGCCGTTGCGGAGGCTTTTGTTCAGGGCTACGTCCTCGACAAGGGCGCTCCGGAACGGTTGTTGACCGATCAGGGAAAGAATTTCACTAGTACCCTTTTACACGAGGTATGTGGCCTTCTGGGTACAAAGAAAATTCGTACCTCACCTTACCATCCACAAACGGATGGGATGGTGGAACGCCTGCATAGGACTCTTACGTCCATGCTATCCCACCAGGTATCTGAGTCCCAAACCGATTGGGATCTACGGATCGGGGGAGTCCTGGCAGCATACAGGATGGCTCCTCACGCGGCGACCGGTTTTTCGCCATTTTTTTATGTATGGCCGCGAGGTTGACCCGCCTGTCGCGACTCAGCTGACGATTGCCGCGCCTCATGCTAAGTCCAAAATCGCGGACCATGTTAAATTTAACATCCTTCGGTTGGCGGAGGCACGGCAGGCGGCCATGCAAAACTCTGACTCTCGCCAGAAACAAAACGAGAGATTGCGATCGCGCCGGACACACACGCACGAATGGCACCCGGGCGACCGAGCATGGTTGCACTGCCCCCATGGTGCCATTGGCCACCTCGGCTAAGTTGTTGCGACCATGGAGGGGCCCCGTAGAAATTGTGCAGGTTATGCGGCCTCAATGTGTGCGCATTAAGTGGGGGAAGCGTCGGTGGTTTGTGCACCCTTCACGGTTAAAGCCATTTTTTGCTCCGCACGCTTCCTCTAACGCAAATGGCCGAACATGTGGGGAGTCCACTGACTCCGGGAGGGCGGGGTCACCGCCAGCCTCTGATCCGCTAATGACTGTCCCGTCTTCAGGAGCCCCAGGACTGAAGCCGTCTTGGCTGCCAGCCTCCCCCGTGGGGGTCGGCGCTGGCAAGTCCGGGAAGCCGGACGACCAGGCACCTGCAGATGCGACACCTGCCACCGACTCTACCAAGCCGGCCCCTTGTGACGGGCCCGCTGCACGGACTCGCGCCAAAACGCGCCGGTTGTTATGAATAGCTTTCCGCGCGTGTTCCGTTGCTGCGGAACCCGCTCATTGTATATATGTTTTTTTTGTTGTTTGTGTGTGTGTGTATGGATGCTTCTTGTGCGTGGGGATGGCGAACCGCGTTCTGTATATGTGTTGCATTTTTGGGGAGGGGGTTTTTATAGGGGACCATCAGTTGTTGTTACACTTGTTCTTGTTATTGTTACTGTTACGAGGCACACGTGTGTTGACTGTGTTAATCTTTATTCTTGGGGGTTGAGGGATTGTTGCAGCCGGGACGGCTGCGAGCTGTACAGGGGGGGGTGATGTAGGGATTATTACGGGAGAAACGGCGGACAACAAACACAGGGGTGTCGGCACTCACATACACGGGTGGTCACACCGACGTCCGCATCCGTTATTGCCCACGCCCCCAGCCCTCGGAGGCGATCCCTATAAAAGGTGGAGACCCAAAGAGCTCGAGGCAGTTCGACACGAAGCTGACCAGTGAAGATCCAAGACTCGGAGATTAGGCCCTGGGACTCCCCGGTCTCGCCGTCCTTATAAGGGCCGAGCCGGGTAAGCCAGTGGCGCGGCCCAAAAGCTTCCAGACCGCTGCCCTTATCAGGGCAAGGCTGGTTAGCTGGTGCCGAGATCTGTACTTGCCAGGGCCAGATCAGTCAGCCTCCCGTAGCCCAGTAGAGGAGGACTGGGGAACAGGACAGAGGGCTTAGTACTAGGGTGGGTTTCCCATAGTACGGGTGAAGGGGCCGATACCCCTTCAACTATTGTGCCTGTCCTTGGGTTAATAAACAGTGTGCCTCAACTTCGACATCGTCTCCTCGAACTTACTACATCTGGTGTTGCAATCGAAACGTCGTATGCTAGTATTTAAATTATTATTTTATCTTTATACGTCACTTTACCGAAAGCACCAAAGAGTGAGCTAAAAGATATTTGATGGGAGGGGGGTGGGGAGATGGAAAAAATACCGAAAAGATGTCTTGCAGCTCCGTTTACAAAAACACACAACAGCCCCCCCCCCCTGCACTCCCCCCCCTGCACCCCCACCCCTGCACCCCCCTTGCAACCCCCCCTTCCACCCCCCACTCCACCCCCACCCCTCCACCCCCCCCCCTCCACCCCCACCCCTCCATCCCCCCTCCGCACCCCCCCCCGCACCCCTCCCCCCTCCACCCCCCCCGCCCCCTCTTCCGCCCCCCCTTCCGCCCCCCCCACCCCCCACCTCCACCCCCCCCCTCCACCCCCCACCTCCACCCCCCACCTCCACCCCCCCACCACCCTCACCTCCACCCCCCCCTCCACCCCCCCCTCCACCCCCCCTCCACCCCCCCACCCCCCCCCCCCCACCACCCCCCCCTGCACCCCCCCTCCACCTTCCCCCCTCCACCCCCCCCATACCCCTCCACCCCCCCCTCCACCCCCCCCCTCCACCCCCCCCCCACCCCCCCCAGGTGGTGCTACTCACCGTCGCTGTCTACGTGGGGTGCAAGGGCGCCATCGGCGCGGGTCTGGCCGCCTCGTTCGTCCGCGGCAGCGCCGCACCGCCGCTGCCGGGCGTGTCGCTCTTCATGTCCATCTCGGGCCCCCTCTTCCCGGCGCTGTGCCCCTGCCTCATCCTCGCCGGGGACTCCAAGAAGAGGGAGGCGCTGCTCGAGGCGCTGCGCCGGGCGCTGCGCGTCGCGCCGAGGAGGAACCAGGAGGAGCGGCGGGGTGCTGGCGAGGACTGATGTCCAGCTCTGTGTGTGTGTCTGTGTGTGTGTCTGTGTGTGTGTGTGTGTCTGTGTGTGTACGTGTGTGTGTGTGTCTGTGTGTGTACGTGTGTGTGTGTGTGTCTGTGTGCGTGTGTCTGTTTGTGTGTCTGTATGTGTACGTGTGTGTCTGTGTGTCTGTGTGTGTGTACGTGTGTGTACGTGTGTGTGTGTGTCTGTATGTGTACGTGTGTGTCTGTGTGTGTGTACGTGTGTGTCTGTGTGTGTCTGTGTGTGTGTGTGTCTGTGCGTGTGTGTGTGTCTGTGTGTGTGTCTGTGTGTGTGTGTGTCTGTGCGTGTGTGTGTGTGTCTGTGTGTGTGTACGTGTGTGTCTGTATGTGTCTGTGTGTGTCTGTGTGTGTACGTGTGTGTCTGTGTGTGTACGTGTGTGTCTACGTTTGTGTACGTGTGTGTACGTGTGTGTCTGTGTGTGTGTGTACGTGTGTGTGTGTGTGCTCGATAACAGCACTTGCCCAAACAGTCTGTTAAGGCTATACCGGGGATCTTTGTCTTTGTGTGTGTACGAGTGTGTGTGTGTGGGGGGGAGCGGTAGTGGTTAGCGCGCTGCGCTACAAACCTGGCGACCCAGGTTCGATTCCCGCTCACGGCCAACATCAGTGACGATTTTCTGAACCGGTCCTGGGCCTCCCCTAGGTCGACTCAGCCTTAAATGAGTACCTGGTGCGGTGTGTAAACATCGCCACTGGGGAGACAAAGGCGGTCGGGCGTGGTGCTGGCCACCCACCCCCTCGTGTACCGTTCCGGCTTTCATAGGTGCTCGCTAACAGCACTTGCCCCAACAGTCTGTTGGAGGCTTTGTGGGGAATCTTTGTCTGTTTCATGTTCACCAGCTGATTCTCGACTTTGTTAAGCTACTGTACCCCCTTGCCTGACCCAACATGGTTCTGAGAAATACAATGTATGAATAATGAACATCAATATTTTTCTTTGTGGTTCTTTCGGTAAAGTCACGTAGAATGGAAATAATAAAATAAAAAAATAAAACAGATTTAAATAAAAAAATATAATAAAATAATATAATAGTATAATTTTATTTTATTATTTCCATTCTACGTGACTTTACCGAAAGAACCAAGAAGATGAATTCCTGCAGTCACGAAAGCGTTAAATCGAAACATCAATATTTTAGCAAGCTTTCGCGACCAATATCATCCATAATAGAGAGTTTTTTGGGTTAGATCGCGTAAATATATAAATGTGTCGTTAAAATCCGCCAGACCACCCGGCACAGCCAACGAGTAAGGGTTGTCACGTAAACAGAACGTGGCCAATTCGTCACCAGTACAGCACTAACCGGTGTGTTGGTGAGCCAAGCCACAACATTTACAATTTTTCGATTTAAAGCTTTCGTGACTGCAGGGATTCATCTTCTTGGTTCTTTCGGTAAAGTCACGTAGAAGGGAAGTAATAAAATAATAAAAATAAAACATAATAAAATAAAATAATATAATAAAACATTTACAATCTGAGTATGATGTAATTACAACGAGCTAGTTGTAATTACATCATACTCAGATTGTAAATGTTGTGTTTTTGCTCTCCAACACACATCGGCTGTGTGTTGGAGAGCGGACACTCTGCACGCGAAACGTCATTAGCTCCCCTGGCTCCTCTTGTGAATCCGCATTGTGCACCATCAGGGAGCCTAGAAAGTGCTTTCATATCGTCCCAGGCTCTACCACGCGGATTTAAATTGTATCGTAAGTTGTTTTACATTGTCGGATTCACACGCGGTGACTCACCGACGGCTCTCACGCACGAGATAACTTCACACGTTTATACATCCTACCTCGCGTACCCCCCCCCCCCCCCCTGGGACATCGCCACCTAGCCTCCCCAGGGGGGTCCGCGTACCCCCGCGTTGAGAGGATGTACAGGACTTATTCTTTGGTTCTTTCGGTAAAGTCACGTATAAAGAAAAAATAATAAATTAAATAATAACATACGACGTTTCCCGCTGCCCGCTGTGTGTATCTTGGTGATATCTGTCTGCTTATATGCCTGTCTATAATTTTTTCTGGTTAGATTTTATGTCGCTATTTCATTATACCTGATGATGATTGCTTGTGCTGCAATCGAAACGTCGTATGCTATTATTTAATTTATTATTTTTTCTTTATACGTGACTTTACCGAAAGAACCAAAGACTAATTCCTGCAGTCACGAAAGCTCCAAAGTTAAGATTGGATGTACAGGACGTGTAGATGCAATATGTGTAAAGGTTTTTTTTTTTATCAAATATATTGGAAATATAACTGCGATGGGTTCGCTATCTACAATTTTGTTTCTGCACCACTCCGCTCAGTCCCCTCGCTCGCGCCGATTTGTAACACCTGCAGTCAGATGTCATTAGGCGTGAAAACCACGTGCGTCAAACCATCATCACCATCATCACCATCATCACCATCATCACCATCATCAATCACCATCATCACCATCATCACCATCATCATCACCATCATCACCATCATCACCATCATCGCAAACAACACATTGCACTCACGTGCTGGGACCCACAGCCGTCAAGAGACCCCCACCCCCTCTAAACACCCCCCCCCCCCCCACACAGTTTATACCCCACACCCCACCTCCTCACTTCTCTCCTACCCCTCCCCCATCATTATCCCCCCCTCCCCCGTCACCCCCACCCACTCTCATTCACCCCCCTTCCCCTCCTTCTACCCTCCCCCTTTCATTTCCCCTTCCCCCCTCCCCCTTCATCCCCCCTCCCCTTCATCCCCCCTCCCCTTCATCCCCCCTCCTTCCCTCTCATCCCTCCACTCTGTCCCCCCTCACCCCCTCTACCCCCTCCCCCTCTACCCCCTCCCCCTCTACCCCCTCCCCCTCTACCCCCTCCCCCTCTACCCCCCTCCCCCTCTTCCCTCCACTCCACGACCAACCCCCCAGTTTTAGATCAATTTGGCCACAGGTGAAGCCCATTGGCCAATGAATGCCCATTGTCGACGGGTACGTGATTACACGCTCGTTAGCTGGTGACCACAGCAGCAGCAGCGACAACCCAGGACAGAAACAATCCACACCGCAACGGTATTTCCCGGACAAGTTACAAATGGCAAAGTAGTCCAGGAAAATCACGGTGCAACCAGTACACGCACAGTATAGCCATGGCGGTGGAACGCATTTCATACTATTACACTATTAAACAGTTTTTTTTTATATTCTTGGTTCTTTCCGTAAAGTCACGTATAAGGGAAACAATAAAATAATACAAATATAAAACAGTACCATTCTCACGACGTTTCGATTGCAACACAAGCAATCATCATCAGGTGTGAAAACCACAGCAAAAATGTTTTTCTTGCTGTGCTTTTCTTGCTGTGGTTTTCACACCTGATGATGATTGCTTGTGTTGCAATCGAAATGTCGTGAGAATTTATTATTGTATTGTTTCCCTTCTACGTGACTTTAGCGAAAGAACCAAGAATATGAATCCCTGCAGTCACGAAAGCTTTAAATCAATATTTTTTTTGTTTACCACGTAGAGCCCTGCTGAACTATGTAGTAGCTCTTTTTGAGAAGCGACCTGACCATCACAAATGATAGCTCAGCAAAGTGGCTTATCGTGGGGAAATGCACGGCGGACAAATACTCTAAACGCGTGTCTCTAAATGTGGAGCGAAAATCCGAAGGACCCTGAAAAACAATCCACGCGACCACGCAGAGAGAGAGAGAGAGACAGGCAAACTCCAAATATACAGCAGGAGGTGTCAGGGTCGGGATCGAAGCCACGACCTCCTGTATACCAGGCGAGGTAGTTAACATCTCCTAGCCACCGTGGTAATGATGATGAAAGAGAGACACACACAAACTTCAAATATACAGCAGTAAGCGTCAGGGTCGGGATCGAAGCCACGACCTCCTGTATACCAGGCGAGGTAGTTAACATCTCCTAGCCACCGTGGTAATGATGATGAAAGAGAGACACACACAAACTTCAAATATACAGCAGTAAGCGTCAGGGTCGGGATCGAAGCCACGACCTCCTGTATACCAGGCGAGGTAGTTAACATCTCCTAGCCACCGTGGTAATGATGAAAGAGAGACACACACAAACTTCAAATATACAGCAGTAAGCGTCAGGGTCGGGATCGAAGCCACGACCTCCTGTATACCAGGCGAGGTAGTTAAAATCTCCTAACCAACGTTTAACCTACTCAAGCCGGCTTGTGCCCGCCCTCACAGTCGGGCATATTTGCCGCCGTTGACCGAGCAACCCAACGTTCCTACCAGCTCCCTCCGCATGAATGTGTTCAGAGTACGTTTTCTGTTTGCATTCTGACCACAAATACTGTCGTTAATGCAGACGTGATTCGTTGTTAAAGGTTTCAGTTTGGTGTTTTAACATCTTAGCACAGCTGCTCTTCACGACCTGTTCTCCACCTGAGGACGGCTGCTTGCGTTGTGGCCGAAACGTCGTGAGAATTTATTTTATTTAAGTTTTATTTTTATTATTTCAATTCTATGTGACTTTACCGAAAGAACCAAGAAGATGAATCCCTGTAGTCACGAAAGCTTTAAATCGAAATTTAATGCATACATTATCAGAGTTATGTTTTTTGTTGCAGGTATTGTGGTCAATGCAAACATGACTCCTTGTAATAAAGGTGTCAGTTTTTTTTGCCAGATAAAAGGGTAAAAAAACCAATTATCATATTGGGCTGTCCTTGATTAACCCGCACTGAGCAGCATTGGTGAGGTATGGTCAATCCACCCACGCGGCCAACGCGACGTTGTATGAAGCCTTCATCCAGCAGTGGAGCGACAAACGCGCTGCAAATCTCACTTGAGCTCGACATGTCATCCCGTTAAACGGCCAACTCAATCGCAGCGTCATTCCTGGGTCGTCGATTTCCTCGGGGAAAAAAATAAATACCCTCAATCCGATCTCTGCCAGGTCAATATCAAACCTTCAGTTCCAGAGGCGAAACCTCCAGACG